ATGAACGTTACTGTTGCTAGGCTAAGCTAACTCGTCATGGATCATGATTATGCATTGACGGTTGCTGCACCTTCTGACACCGAAGCTGTCCCGGTAAACAACCCGGTAAAACGGAAACGTACGGGTCAACCAAGCGATCCCAGAAGAATTTGGGATGAGAAGAGAGCTGCCACGGTCGGTTTCGGTTTCACGGAGTGAGGAACGTCAGATCTGTATCTGTTATATGACTATAACTCCCATGATCCCACTCTACTTCGTGACGCCATCCAGCTCCGTCTTCTGTTATTGTTTTGGTTTGAGACCCCTAGCGGCAGAAAATTACATATTGCACGTTTAAAGGTCCAGTGTGTAGGGTTAGGGACATCAACTGGCAGGAATGTTATATAATATTTATAACTATGTTTCTATTAGTTTATAATCACCTGAAAATAAGAACTGTTGTGTTTTAATTCCCTTAGAATGAGCCGTTTACATGCACACATGGAGTGGGTCCTTTTCTATGGAGTCCACCATGTTGTTTATACAGTAGCCCAGAACGGACAAATCAAACACTGGCTCTAGATAGTACCATTTGGGTTTTTGTGTTCTCCTACATTCTTCGCACATGGCAGAAGTTTCAGCTCTGCAACCTTGCTGCTGGATGCCACTAAATCCTGCACACTGGATCCCCCAGACTACCACAGGACAGACAACCATTCACACTTACGCACAATTTAGAGTCACCAATTAACCTGCACGGCTTTGGACTGTGGGAGGAAGCTGGAGCACCTGGAGGAAACCCACGCTGACATGGGGAGAACACACAACAGTTATTTTTGTTATTGATTACTCTTGCGATTCTTATCTTGTGTAACTGATTTAACGCTTGGTCAACAAAAGATTAGAAGAGGGTAAAAACTGCTCTCATAATACCCTAGAACCTCAGGTGACTTCATCAAATGTCCAAAACCCCAAGAATATGAAATTTACAATAACATGAGACACACGTTTTTGGGACATTTTTGCTCGAAACATTTCTGAAATTATTACTTGATTATAAAAATAGTTACTGATTAATTTTCTGTAAATCGACTAATGTATTAATCAACTAATATGATATGAGATGTCAATCTTGACATTGGAAATAGTTGGACAAATAAATAAATAATCTTTACTCAAGAACTTCACAACAAACTCAAGCTTCTAATGAAGACAATGAGATTTGACTGAAAGCTCTGGGAAAAAGGCTAGTAAGTGGACCTTGAGTTAATAAGTCCTGTTTAAGTATACTTTATACGACGGATCATAAACCAGTTTACGACCCAGAGACATCATGAGGAAGTTATTTTAGTAATGCTGTTGTCAGGAAACAGAATCCCCACAGCTTCCTGCCTACATGATAAATCCATAAATGTGAATTACTGTTACTGAAATCATCCAAATGAATAATCCAGAGGTCATTGTGTCTCGCTGACGGCAGATTCCCCTTCACTCTGCTGTTACATAACGTGTGTCCGAGCTCCTGGTTTGGCTTTAAAGACAACAGCTTGCTTCCTCATCAGGCCTTTTTGTTCTCTGACTTCATATCAGATCTCACGGTGGAGGGACAGAGGATACTCTTCAGTTTCTCATTAATTCATCAGCTGAGAGCAGAGTGTCAGGTGTCCTGCCCCCACTCGGTTACACCTGCTACTCACGGAGATGATGAACAGACGCCAGCCATAGTTACTGTCTGCTCTCTGACGATGGCTCTGATGCAGCTGTACAAAAACATTATTATAATATCAGTATATCAAACACAAATCAGGACATGTGTTAAAGACAGCTGACACCGATATTAAGGTTACGGTCAGTAACTAAATAACTGCTGTGTTTAGGCACAGTTTTTAGGTACTTTATTCTATTCTATTCTTTATTTCCATTTGATGCTACCTTATATCTCTGCCTCTCTACATCTCAGAGGGAAACATTGAACTTTTTACTTCTCTTTTAGGCACAAATACCACTTGGTCAAGGTCATGGAAATAAGTTTTGGCTTACTTGGTTTTTTGGGCACAATCCTGGCTGGACCCACTGCAATTTCTCTGTAATTAACAACTTTTCGCGCAGCTGCTGGAAAACCAGCAATGACTCAAAAAATCACAGGTGGTTTTGTTGTTTGTTGGTCTCGAACAGTGGTCTTAAGTTAGGCAGGCATCTCACCTAGGTGACTTTCAACCCTCCCCTTCCAGATGACAAAGAAATGATACATGTAAAGTGACTTGCAGAAACGTACACTGCTGACATTGTCTTCTAGCAGTCTGTCAAAATAAAAGTTCTCTGCTACTTTAATGTTTTTATTTTGAGGGGACAAAAGCACGTGATTTAAATATTTCAGACTCTAAAGTGCAAGAGACAAGATGGGCCACCAGCAGCTCTACCGGAGTCACCCCAGAAAATTTGAACAGGGATCCCGATCCTGCCGGGTATGCGCAGTCTGATCCATAAAATCCATAAATATGAACTCAACATGTGCCACAAATGCTTCAGGCAGTACGCTAAAGACAGTAGGCCCTTTTACACTGCCAGATTTTCGGCAAATGTTGGGCTGTTTTGCCGGCAAGCTGCGAGCGTTTAGACGCACAGAGCCGGATTGGCGAGTTGATCCAAGGTGCCCAATTTTCCGCCTCGTAGGGTAGACATATTGGCGGAACCATTTTGGTTTAAAAAGAACGAGGAAGCCTTCTACAATGGGAGGGGCTGTTGATGACTTGTTGGAGGAGCTGTTGATGACGCCGCATGTGCGACCCACTGGCGGTGGATAAACAGGAAACAGCTGATAGCAGGAATTAGCGAGCAGCTAGTAGCAAGAGGGAAACACAAACCTGACAGACACTGTAAAGATGAGCAACTGGGGAGACAAGGAATTGCGCGCCCTCCTTGTCCTCGCAAACGAAGAGGCCATTAACCGTCAGATGACGGGGACGGTGAAGAACGAGCCAGCTTACGAGAGAATCACCGAAGGACTGACCAGCCGCGGCTTCCCTCCCACGTCACTGTTTACGTCACACGCTGAGCTACACCTTTTGTTACTTGCTCACGCCCCCCATTGCCTCGAAAAAGACGTATTCTGTATAAACAAAAGTAGGTAGGCGGCATTTTGCCGCACTCCCCGATTTTGGTTTTATACTGCCAATGCTGAAAAAAGACTGATTGGGCTTTCCTGCAAATTTGCACAATTCCTATTTAAAAAGGGCTATTGGCTTCGTCAAGCTGGACTAAATGCCACACCCTCAGATGGGTTCAGTGATCTCCGTAAGCTTGGCCAAGATGAGAAGATTCATTGATAATAAATATTGAGGGGGACATGTCCCCCGCTTCCCCCCTAAATCTACGCCTGTGCAAAGGAGGAACCTTCTCAAACTGCTTTACTTGCATTTAAGGTGTCTTTTACAGCAAGGAAATAAGGAAGCAAGCTCTATTTTGATGGGGTTTTATGCACTCTGGCTCCTCATTCACATTCAAAGTGCAAAAAAAATTCCCAGTGAATCAATTTAAGTTAATTGTGGATTAGAAAATGGTTAGTGGGCCATCTGGCACCTTGTTGCTGGCCAGATTTGGGCTGCGGGCTGCAAATTAAACACAACTTAAGCTTGATAAAATGTTTAATGCCAAGTGTAAATATAATAATTGTCAATAAAGTTTTGTTCTCCACAGTTCTAAGTGTGTGCTCTGTGCCCTTCAGCTCAGTCCTCCAGTCTGTGTTGGTGCCATGGCTGAACCAAGCTGGTGGAAGCTGACCTTCTCACGCAAGAAGAAATCTGAATCCAAGGTCCTGTACGAGATCCCGGCTGAGTATGGCAGCAACACCGGTAACAAAGAGCACTCGAGCAACAACCCCCCTGCAGACCACATGGACAGCCACTTCAACGCCAGGCTGGAGAAGATTGTAGATAAATCTGCCACCAAGGGCCGCCACGTCAAGGTGTCCCACTCCGGACGCTTCAAGGAAAAGAAGAAGGTCCGCGCCACGCTGGCCGAGAACCCAGATCTGTTCGCAGAGAACAACCTCGGTGACGAGAACCATAAAAAGAAACCTGAGAAATAGCACCAAAACATACTTGATCACACGTGTCATATATTACCTGTAAAAGCTTAGATGATAAACATACACAAACACAACCCTGTGGCTGTACACGTGCAGCGTGCAGCAGACACCACACCCAGGTTGATACTGGAATCAATGGACTCACACCTAAACAAACAACTGGTATCAGCACAACAAAGTAAACAAAGTACTGGAGACATTTTTATTACGTCTCATTTTCTTGTTATTTATCTCCACAATCTGCCTAACCTCATGCAAACATCCTTATGAATGAACAGTAACGTTATTGTAAATTAACTTTTTATTTTTATTATCATGGATGTAGATTTTTGGGGGAATTAAACCTCCTTTTTTATGTCTTACATAATCAATACACAGAGAGAAATATGTGTGTGTGCAGTGCGACCAAAGCACAGTCAATTTTTATTACATTTTTATGACCAAAGCAAATAAAGACTTGATTTTGATGTTTCGTGGATACTAAAAATGTTTTCTTTATAATAAATGTACCAAGATGAGTTAATATAAAAAGAGTTCTTTGTATTTGTGCAGGGATATATCCACAGCAGGTGTGTCACAATCATTTGCACCTGCGTATCAATGATTTAAGGGCCTTCGTGTGTTAATCTTGGTTTCAGGTGACCGAGACAAGTCTGTGTTTTCACCTGAGCCTGTGTGTGCTGGTTTTGTTGACATGGTGATAGTAAGCAGACACCGACACTTGATACGCAGCACCGTGCTCCTACTTTTTGTAACATGGCGCTTCTTACATCAGCTCACAGACTGACTCTAATCACTCAAGACAAATCCACTAATCAGCTGCTGGTGCGTGAGTTTGTCTTTGAGTCTGTAACTTATTGTTTTGTTGATCTCTGACGTCTGCGGGTGTAGAGCTGCTGCTGACACCTGCTGGCCAAACACGCACACACACTCGTCAGTTACAAATTAAACTTTATTTCTGGCTCTATTCCACCATTAATTCAAATCAGCAGTAAGAAAATAAACAACAATTTCAATCTCATGTAGTACAAGACACATAATACACATCATAGTTGGCACAATTTAAATTAGCAGCTCTTTTAATCTCATTGTTAAAAGGCAGTCAGACCAGCACTGCTACAATCAACCCATGATGAAGTTAAGGTTTTAGTAACGCTGTGTTTTATGGGTCCTATAGTTTCCTTTGAGTTCTCAGAAAGACGCTATACAGCAGAATGTTATCTCGTACTTATGAGGAAAATTGAGACAGATGATCAATAAACTTCTGATTAAATATTTGAAATCAAATGTTCACATAAGCAGGATCATCTTCAGTAGCGGCTCAGTGGGTCAGGTGCACATACAGAAATGTAAAAATCTTCTTAAATCAAACGTAGAGAATTAAGTTTCACATGACAAATATAAAGAATGAAGACACCCAGTGGTCCCTTTATTATTATAATTATTATTATTAGATACACCTGTACAATCTTCTGCAACTCAATGCCACAGCTCCGCCATAAATTCCACTTAACAAACTTTATAATGTTTAGTTTTTGTCTGAAACGTGTGAATTCAATGCATTTATCACTAAGGTCATTGATAAAAAAGCAGTGTTGTAAATAGGGCCGAGCAATATATCGACACTGTATCAATACTGTGACATGAGACTAAGTTTTGGGTATCGTAATATCTGAAGTGTTGTCTTTTCTTGGTTTAAAAAGCTGCATTACAGTAAAAAGATGTTATTTTCTGAACCTACCAGACTGTTGTAGCTGTTTTAATATTTTCCAGTCGACAGTCAACCCTACAATATCGTCTCAATATCAAAACTATTATGATATTTGAACTTCTCGATATCACTGAGCCCTAGTTATCAATACTGAGAGGTGTTCCTAATTTTTGTCCTCTCTATTTACATTAAATAACATGAATGCTAAAACATATCACTGAATTAACACCTCTACGTCATAAAGCATCATACAAGTCGAATTTATGTCAGAAAAATATTGGACTGCATTAGATTGTACAGGTGTACCTAATAAAGTGAGTGTATTTATTTGCGTTTAATAATACTTCACCCACAAAATGACTGTTGTACATTTGTACGTTACTCAAAGCACGTTATGTTAAATCTGTAAAGAAACCTGTGTTTTTTCTCGCATGTCTTCACGCTGAGCGGAGAATCCAAAAAAGGCGAACACTCTCTTACAAACAGAATAATCCAAGTCTCGTTTATCCAGTCGTATGCTCAGCACTTCCTATACACAGGCAGTTTCACTTCAACTTTACATTGTGAAACACTTCCACCTTCGAGTCGCTCTGCGTGAGCACATGTCCAAACACACGACTCAGCCGTGCATGAGACTGTTTGTACCGAGGTGTTTTAAAACATGATGTTTTTGCACAAATGTATGTGCTTGTAAAGTACCGAGCATACATGGATGATACTGTAGGAATGATGTGAGAGTTTGTAAATAGATGTTTTGAGTTTGACTGTTGTTAAGTTTCATCCTCTGTGACTTCAATACAACAAGAATTTTCCCAGTTTTTGGATTCTTGGTTCACGATGAAGGCATGCGAGAAAAACAAAGTGCACTTCACAAATTTAAGGTAATGTGCTGCTGTGAGTAACTGATATACCGATGGACATTTGGCAGTGGAGTATTCGTTTTTTAAATGGATCAACTGCCCTGAAAATCAATAACTGCTCATAAACTCAACACAACTGTCTCAGAATCTTCTATTTTCCCTGTTATTTATCTCTATAAACAGATATTTGCACATGAATACAGACTCTGAAGGCAACAGAACAAGAATTTTGGTATCGAATGTTTTCTGGTTTCTGTTTGTAGAGGAGCATTGCACAACATGGTTGAGCAGGCTTTGGTTGCCTGCAGGTGAACAGTCCATGTAGAGAGCAAAGAGGTGGAACACATTGGCTGAAATGCAATCTTGGAATAAATTTCGCTTTTTATTGGCTTTTTAGTAATTTATCTGCATATATATATGAAGATATCTGTTTATAGAAATCAGCCAACGTGTTGTCAGGACCTGTCTCAAGTTGGTAATCAAACTGTAAATGATGATTGGCACGATTGCTACACTGGAACCCCTAAAAAATTGGCAATTGCCCCCAGAGGCTAAATCGTCTTCAGATCAATAGCTGACAGGCTCTGAGTATGCCCTCTAAATTACTTTCTGGATTTCTAGCAAACTTTCTTGGAACTTAGGAAATCACAGACCTGTAAAATCAAAGCATTACTAATTATTCCAACACTGAAAATAGACCACAGGAAGTTGTATCAACAAGTAAACTAATTAGAAGTGGACAGATTGTATTTTTCAGGACATAAGACACAGTCTCCGTGTCCTACAGGTTAAAACACTGTTGAATAACAAGCGTAACTGTCAATCATTATTCAACAGGACCAGGTGGAGTTTGCTCCCTTTATGTAAACTACACAGCATCTTTTCGTTTCATAATGCCTGGAAATGTAAAGTTGTACAGTGCAGTCAGGTTATATCTGTTATCCACCATATGTGTTCTGACATCAAGAACATAAAGTTAATGACTCCTACACACAGCAGCACCTATGTCGTCAACATCGAATGGTTTGCATCAGGGCCTAGAGATCTAGAGATGAGCGCATCAATGAGTTTTCTTCCCTGAATATGAAAGTCAGTTGAGGTGCTTCTCACGGGGACAGTCGCTGGTACACCCACCCTCCCTCTGCAGGGTGCTGGAACTCCCCCAGCTCGGACTCTCCATCCTTTGGCCTGGTGAAGACGATGCGGTCGTGAAGTCTGTTGGTCTGACCCTGCCAGAACTCAATCTGGTAAGGCCTGACGATGTAGCCGCCCCTGTTCACACAGGACAGAGAGAGTATTAACAGAAGTTGTATGCCTCTGTCAGCCAGTGAAGGTGCACTTTAGATCCATGTCTGTCCGGACCCATGTGTGTGAAGCATCCACATTTTTGAATCTGTAGCCTCTTTGCAGTAACATACGTATTTGAAGTGTTTTCTACTGTCATGGCTGCAACTTTGTGTTTGATCAGAGTCAGCTCTACGTGCCAGACAGTCTTGCGTAGCCAGACCTTTCTCCACAGCGCTGTATGTTAGAGTAGAGTATTGTTGCTCTACAGTATCGTAACAGGCTTTTCTCACTGTTCACTATGTTTTTAGACCAAGGAAGCAAGGAAGTGAATACGTAGAAAATGGTGGACAATTGCTTTCAATACGACCCAGGGAAACCTGCAAGAAAATGTGCCAAAGCTTCTTCATCTTTTCCACAATTTTAAGATTTTATAGTCTGATTTGATGCGAAGAATAAAACGTGATGCTCACCAATAGTCAGGCATCGGCACCTCTGTGTCTTTGTACTTCTCCTCCAGTTCTGCATTTTTCTGCCTTAAATACTAAAAAGAAAAGACATAGTGAAGATTGTGATTTGAACATGGACGTATATCCATAAATGACGCAGTATAGTTTCGGTTCTTACGTCTCTGTTGGGAACAGGTGTGCTTTGTCGGCTCACGACAGCCCCGATCTGGCTGCTCTTCGGCCGGGAGTGGAAGTAGTCACAGGAGCTCTGGAAGGGGATTCGCTCCACGGTGCCTTCAATGCGAATCTACATATCAAACATAAAATTTAGACAAAAAGTTTTTGAGGGGAAATCTATTAAGATATCATCAGTGAGATAAAATTTGGTGAGCACATGGAAGATGCTGACCTGTCTGTTGATGGGTTCCCAGTAGAAAACCAGACATGCGTATGGATTACTCTCCTGTGGAAAGAGAACAGACACCAGTGCATAAAATACTGAATATTAAAAATACAGTACTTTGTACTCGAGCTGCACAGACTGCAACAAGTTATCACTGAAGGAGCTGAATTACAATCACACAAGGGAAATAACATCATCAATAACTGATGTAATAAATAAATAAAATACAATCCATACAATAAAATAGAAACCTGACTGTAGGAGAAAATTAATGGGCGATAAAAACAAGTCATAAGACAAGATAAGTTCAAGACTGAAGGATCAAACAACAAGTCCACCTAGACTATACACACAAGGGCTGCAACTGACAGTTATTTTTATTATTGATTGATCTTCCAGTTATTTTCTTAATTAATTGATTGATCGTTTGGTGCATAAAATGTCACAAAACTGTGAAAAATGTCCATCAGAAGGTTCCACAGTCAAACCTGACACATCAAAATACACTAAAAACTAAAACCCAAAGATATTCAGTTTATTATCAGAGATGACCTACAAATATTTCCTTTAACAATTAAATAATTTCCAAAATGTTGCTGATCAACTTTCTTTAGATTGTGTAAATAATTGAGTGAGTAAATATCAGTCCAGCTGTAAACCTAACTTTAGAACAGCATCTCAAAGAAATTCATAAAATAATTAAATATTTTACAAAATCTACTCATGAAGACAAACACAAAAACTATGGAATTATTAAAGAATATTGAGCAGATTAATTTGTTAGTATAAATTAGTCAGATTAATTTTAATCTGTCGGACAAAGCTTTGGTATAAAACATATTCAGTATTTTACTCATATAGCAGGGTGCTAAATTATTATTTTTTGACCAGTGTTCAAATCTTACCAGTCATTCAATAGACTACCATTGTTTTCTGGGTGGTAAGTGAAGCAAATCTACCAACACATGCATATTTTACAAACATTCAGCTGGTGGATGGTGCTAATTTTGTACCCTGCATATTGCATTACTTTGAGGAAGTGTAAAAATGACAGACCTAAGACATTTTTAGTGCAGAAACCAATGATAGCTGAGAGTGAAACACAGCTGTCAACACAGTTTGACTCTCACAGGTGTGGAATCAAGTCAGCAGTCATTTCTGTGGCTACTGAATCTGCTGATTACTTTTTATTATTAACCATTAATCAAAAGTAGTCAAAGAAATGTATGAACATTTTCCCAAGAGCTCAAGGTGACGTCTTCAAAGTGCTTGAAGTGTTCATCCACCTCCCAAATAATACATTTACAATAATGAGAATCAAATCAAATCAGGTCTATTTGTTTTTTTTTGTTTTTTTTTTTTATTAAGATATTTTTTGGGGCAGTTTTTGGCTTTAATTGACGGGACAGGTAGGCGTGAAGGGGGTTTGACGTGCAGCCACTAAGCCACCGACGCCCCGTTTATATGGCACGTTTAAGAACCAGCGCAGTTGACCCAAGTGCCTTACCAATTAAAAGAATGACACACAATATACAGAAATATAACATTTACACAAATAAATAAACAGAACAACACTAGTAAGAACAATTACATACATTAAAAAAATATTTATTATAAAATATTAAAACCTCTACGAGCAGTCAAAGGCCATTGAACACATGTACATTATAAGATTTGTCTTATAAGTGTCAGTGGAGGGGGAGGATTTAATTGAGAGTGGAAGGCTCTTCCAAAGCTTTGCTACCACAAAGGCATGATCTCCTTTACCACCAGCCTCGATCGTGGGACAGTTAAAACCAAGAAAAGCAGCTTTTGAGAAACTGGAAATGGACTTAACTCAATGACTTGACTCATGGTTTCAGCACTATTGTGTTTGGTATCTGCTCAAAGCAATATTAAATCATTCGACAATATTTACATCTGATGCAGCAAGAATCCACACAGTGAGGACTGTAAACCTCAGGAAGGGAAAATAAATAAACAGTGTCAGCCTCAGAAAAAGCTGGTTTGACAGCCGCCATTTTAAGGTCACATGAGGTCACAGAGAGCCTGAACGGCTGCTGTGAGACAATCAGACAGAAGCAGTCACTCACCAGCTCAGAACCCTTCCTGCTCTCGTAGTTGGTGAAGAACCGGAAACCCTCATTGCTGTAACCTTTCAGGAGGACCATACGAGCAGATGGACGTCCATCTCTGTGCAGACAGACACATATAAAGTTGACATAAGTGAACAACTAAAAAAGAAATTTAATTTCAAGAGGCAGCGTTGCTTACTTGGTGGCTGTGGCGATGCACATGGCGTTGGCCTCTCCGATTTCAGGGCACTTTGTGGCGTCATCGAACCAGTTTCCAAACTGTTTGATTGGGTCCAGAGATACCAGCTGACTCTCCTCGAAACACTGTCAACAACATCATCAATCAAGTACCGTCCTGAGGTAATAATTTGAGGTACTTAGCATTTATGCAACTTTATACCTCTGTTCCAAATATTGTACTACAAATTTACAGATTATACAATTTTTCAACCCCTTTCTGTCCAGCGAAAACCACGTGTCTCCAGATGTGTTGATGCTGAATGTACAGCCACAGCACAAATATTTGATGATCTTAAAGACCATGATGCATTGCTGTAGACTGAACTACCCAACAGGATATGAAGTTAAATGAGCACAAGTGTGAACATCTACAGCAGTAAAATGCAACACACTCATTAATGCAGCAGTGATAATCATGCAATTGCATCAGGTATAACAGGAAAACACTGACAGGGTTTGACATGCAGGACTTATACTTGCAGTGGAGCATTTTCACAGTGAGGTTTTAGTGCTTTTACTCAAGTAAAGGATCTGAATGCTTCCTCCAGCACTGAAAAATACAGATATTCTGACATATACCTCAAGCAGGCCTTGAATGCCAAAAGTCAAAGTCAAGGTCTGAAACATCTGGGGAGCATTAAAACAGAACCCTGCTGTATCACACACTGTAATCAAGGCAACCAGTCTGATTATAAACGGTGCACGGTGCAGTATTCGCACACCTGACACTGGATCAAAGGTGATGTCATTATAACCTTGCAGTTACACACACCAGACAGTGGAGTTGGTTATATCACTCAATGTCTTTCCTTCTAACACAGCCTTCTGCATGCCGCTCACCTCCTCATCTCCTTTGTATTTCTTCCTCATGTTGCTCAGGTCCATGTTTGTGCGGTCACTCGTTGACTTCCTGCAGAGGTTCAGAGCACAGACGCGTTGTTGAGCCGCTGTCACGGAGGCATGTAGCGGAGGGTTTCGACCAAATACACTAAACTGCCTCAATAATAAATTCGCACTGAGTATGCGCCTCATGCTTACCAAACTGACGCTCACGTAACAGTGCATTTTTCCCACCCGCTTTGCGCCAAGTCCCGCCCTGCTGCGCTGTGATTGGCTGGTGGTCGTTACCGGCATGTTCCGCCAGCAACACGAGTTACACAACTGACGTTGACGATAATGTCATAATAACACAAAATACAAAGGTATTTTCAATCCTTATATTATTATACAATCTTTTATTTATGAACATTTGCTTCTAAGTAAATGTGTTTATAATATAATCACATAATCTTTGTTCAGTTAACATTTAACACTTAATCTTGAACTGTGTGTTTCAATGGAGACAAATGGGGGCAAAAAGGGTTGAGAGATGTCCAAGATTAAAAAATAGGCAAAAACTATTTAATATTTAAGCAGTTGCATTAAAATACCATTTTTAAAAAAAGGAAAAAGGTAATTGTTATTATCTTGACATATGCCCTTCAGAAGTATCAGTGTTTTTCCTATTTTGTAATAAATTACTGCACAATTTTCTTTACACAAAAATGGAAAATATCATTATTATTAATATACAAAATTTATATTACAAGGTGCAGTTCTTGTGCTCTACATCTCTCTCTATCTCTCTATTTCAGCTAGCCATTTCAGAATCTTTTTTTTTTGTTTATTTTTATTTATTATTTCTTTATTTTTACATTTTAGTTTTTGCAAAAAGAGTGCCAAACAACAGACCTATATAAAAATTATGTGATGAAAATGAAAGGATTCAGATAATAAATAAAAAAATAATAAAATTTATTTTGTCTTTAAGGGTTTGTCTAGTGCTGAATAGTTTGCATGTATTGTGGCATTTAATTTATAAAAACTTAAAATACAGGTTTTCTTCATAGAATTTACTTTTGTGAATGTCAAATTATTTTTGCTTACTGAAAAAATACATAAATAAGTAAAATAAAATAAAAACAACACTGAATAAAATAAAGTAAAACAACAAGATATAGACTGAAATACAGTAAAATAAAATAAAATAATAATTTATAATATATACTTCCCATTCCGGTGTAGGCTCGCTGCTCTCACCCAATGATCACATCCAGCCGATGTTACTAACCAATCACAGCACAGCAGGGCGGGACTTAGCTCAAAGCGGGTAGGAAAAGAAAATAACGTACCGGAAGCTGTAACGTCACAGCGTGACGTCGCGGCGGTTGACGCCTGCTTATGACTTGCGAAATGGAGAAAGGAGCTGTTCGGAAAAAACAACAAGCCTCCTTATTTGAGGAATTTGTAGTTCAATAAAAGAAGAACATCAAGCAGCGGGGCCACACCGACCACAGCCGGCTGGAGACTAACGTTGCCACATCGGCCGACATTTTCCCCGATGAAAGTAAGTAGTTGTTGGCTAGGATTAGCATTTAGGTTAGCATTTGTTTTCTGTAAGTTAGCTAACGTTAGATTGTTTAGAAGTGGTGATTATTCGGGTCAGACAGCTGGTTTACGTTAGTGTTTGGGAAGTCGGTAGCTTTTATTACATGACATGACATGTGGAGTAGTTGGGGGGTTTAAACCATAAACTGTGTACCCTCTCTCCATCTTATTTTATATTTATGTTACTTTGAGTTTCTTTACACCCTACAAGTAGACTGGATAATAAATATTGCCCACAAGCTGTTAAATTCTGGCAGTTTCTGACAGTTATTTATGAAATTTAAACAAATTTAGGACATAAAACACTAAATGAGGAAACACCCACCAGCTAGAACACATTGTTCGTTTTGATGTTGAGTAGCTGTGAAGTTAGAGGAAGAAACGTGGTGATGGAAGTTAGTTTCTGTGTGTTATTGATCAGCAACACCGTCTGAAATCTATGTATTTTCAGTTGATTATCAGTTCTCAAATGTGAGGATTTTGTGTTAATATTAAAAATATATGTGCTTATGGTATAGTCAAACTAAAGACTAATTTGGAGACATCACCTCGCACATTTCTTTATATTTTCTGATAATTTAGAGTAAAGAACTTATTGATTAATAAAAAAAAAAACATCCTGCAGGTTACTCAGTAATGAAAATAATTTGTTTTAGCCTCTCTTTTTATATCTTTGCTATTTATTCATTTTTGGAGGGGCTGTAGTCAGACAAAAAGGCGATTGTGAGACATCATCTTTGATATTTCTTTCTATCTTTTGACATCTTATAGTGAACAACTAATTGATTAATCAAAATAGTCTGCAAATGACTCTATTATGAATTCGCATAAGCTATAATTGATACATGCCTGTCCTACGTGTTTGTCTCTCTTCATATCATTGCAAATTTATTGAAGTATTTTCGGGGCAGCTGGAGTCAAGACAAAATTGCACTTTAGAGACATTACCATGGACGTTTCTTTGTGTTTTGTGACATTTTATAGCAAATAACTAATTGATAATTCAAGAAGACAGTCAACAGATCACTCAATAATCAAAATAATTGTTAGTTGCAGCCCTAATGGGTGACATCAGTCCTCACTGGTGTGCCACTCCTGATTATTGGTATGTTTTTCTTTTAGCAGGCTTATTTTTATGGGTGTGCTAGACTGACACTAGTTTAAAGGAATCTTGGCCTACCAGCTGTAAAGTATCTGGGTTATTGGCTTCTTATGGAGGATTTTACAAAGCAGCAAAGAGACTCAACACACTACTATAAGTCCAGAGGAGGTCACTTTGCTTTAAACTCTTTAAAAAAGCTCTTTAGAGTCTGAATCACCAGCCATAACACCTTAATGACATAGAGAGATGCATGCTAGTGTGACTCAGTGTTTTTTCGCTGACCAGCTTCTCTTTTGTTGGATGAGTCATCAGCTCATGACAACACTATAGAAGACATGCAGTTTGATCTTTTTAAATTTCCTCCTCATTGATTTCTTCTTTCGTTGCAGTGCAGCACTCAGTAGGATGATCAGCAATCAAGAAGAGGATGTAAGTAACCCCCCTGTCTTTCTTTTTCTACACTAAATCTAAATAGTAATTTCTAATGTCAGTTCTCTTCTCTTTTAAAAATTTCACATAAATGTCAAAGAACAAAACTTCCATTGATGAGTTTACAAACATTTGAGGAACTTCCTCTCTTTGAAGAGATCAGAATCAGAATCAGAAATACTTTATTAATCCCCGGGGGAATTTGTTGGTCCATGTGTGGTAGCATGTGTCGTGTCTGCACGCTTATCTACTGTACTGATCTCAATCTGTTGGTTTGAGCAAAACACACAAACACCAGTTTTTATTTAAGCTTGCAAAACAGTGACTTTGTTTGTGTCCTTTTAGGAATTTGTTGCAGTGCGGGTCCAAGATCCCCGCATGCACAACGAAGGCTCCTGGAATTCCTATGTTGATTATAAAATATTTCTACATGTGAGTATTAACATTTACACTAGTATATATCCGGTCATTTTAGCGTGATCTACTTGGGAGCTGAGCTCAGTTTTCAAGCAGAAATGTCAAACATTTTGTGGGTTCAGCTTCTCTCCATGTGAGGATTTGCTGTTTTTTTGTTGTTTAATTTAATTGCAAATTGAGTATTTTTAAGTTCTGGACTGTTGGCCAGACATCTGATGGCAATATGTTGAGGTATGGAAGATTGAGAGGTGCATTTTTTGCTATTTTCTGAAATTATTTCTGGAAGATAATCACCAGTATAATTAGAAAACAAGTGAAGTTGTTGACTTCTAATGCGATTGAACGCAGATGAAAGACATTGAGGACTATTTGTGGTTTAAAGGTGCTACACAAATAAAGTAGCCTCACCCTAAAAAAAAGAATATTTGATGATACTCGCCTGATAAGAATTGCTAGTAGTTTTAAACTATTAAACCTGTCTCATACAACAAAATACTTTCAAAAGGTAACAGGAGATTTAGACAGCCTGGAGCTTCACATACTAATCCCATAAGACTTTTGAGACCCTTTCAATTTGAGTTTAACCAAACTCCAGTCTCTGTAAACCTCTGTGTTTGCAGCAGCATGGATTCCTTACATTTTGTTTGGACAGGAGTTGATGCTGTTGTCTGGGCAGCAGCCTGTGTGTTGAGGAATGCTGTGTCAGCAGCAAGGCTCCAAGCCCAGACGGATGTGCTATGAGGGTGTTGACTCATGAAATTGGCTCAGATCACCTGACCTCACATGATCTTTCATCATTTTGTTTGTCGTTGATATGCTGTTGTTTTTTTCCACAGGTTAAAGTGATTCCCAAAAATGTACTCAATGTTATTATTATAATTCCAGAAAATAGCTTTTCTAGATTTCTTATCTTCTCACTGCCTTTGTCACCTATCACTAAACCTGCACAAGTAACTATTTCAGCTGTTGTGTAAGGCCTAGTTCACTGGTAGTTTTAAAACATGGGTTTTCCTCCCTAGTTCTCAAAAAAAAAAAAAAACCTGACCACACAGGGACTGTTTAAAAAAAACCCAACAAAAACAAAACTGAAATGCTAAACCAACGAGTGGAGATTTAACCCGATCATCCAAAAGTGAAGATGATGTTGGCCAATCAGAAGCTAGACGGCTAGAGGGCTACCTGCAGCAGTGACCTTGGTAGCTTATTCTGATGCTTGTTTTCCTAAATATAAGAGTAGAGTAACTGTATGTTTAGATGTAAACAGACTAGAAACACCACTATTTTGGCCACGTCTCCCACTGCACAAAATGTCACCTCATTTGTGAGATTTCATAAAGGAGATAACTTTGCACACGCAGATATCACAAGGTAAAAACTCAGTTTTTCAGTCTAGACGTCTACATTGAAAACAGAGCTTCTGAAAATCTTCGCCCTGGAAGTAGTGTTACAAAAGATCTGTTTCAAGTTACTTAAGATGCAGTTTGTGTGTGGATGAAAGGCTAAAAACGTATACAAAAAACTACATAAACAAATCCTGTGTATGTGTGGACTAGGCCTTACATTTTTAACCTAAACACTTACTTATATAGACTATTTTAAAACTCCTAAAAAAGACACCCAAACATGGCTCAATGTCTGATTGCTCTTCACAGTACAACATGTTGGGCTGCAGCCAACAATTATATTCAAT